TTTTTTTTTTTTTTTTTAACTGTCATTGTCAGAGTAAAGTTGGCTAAACATCAAACGACATCTCTCTTCTTCCCAGATGGTGTGGTCTGCCAATATCAGGAACATCCCCTGTAATGAAACTGACATCTTCTGGAAACGTCATGCTTGTCACATTTTCTTTCAGTCGTCAGAGGCAAGGAGCCATCTTCAAAGCTTATTTCCAAGCTATACCCAAAACCGGTGTGTGAATTAGCAGTCAGCATGAGATGCTATAATTTGAGTCATTATTCTGTTCAGGAATCAGAAATTCTTTGGTTCTGTGTCACTGTTTCTGTAGAGTGTGGTGGTTTCCTCACTGCGTGGAACGGCACGGTGACGTCCCCTTACTACCCCGCCTACTACCCTCCAAATGTGGACTGTAACTGGAAAATCAGGGTGAGCTAAGGCTAAAGGCTTTCCCAGGTATCCCATGAGCCTCTTCCCCAGTGCCCTGTGAACCCCATTCAGAGGCCTGGGATGCTCCCTCTTTGAGACGAGGAGCACAGGGTGGCTGCTGCTTTGTGTAAGAGTGCGTCCGATGAGAGTCTGGTTTCTCTTTTAGGCTCCGTTGCCGGGATACCTTCTCTCCGTGACCATTGTGATGCTAGACATTCAGGATTCACCGGCCTCAAGCACCTGCGAAAAAGATTGGCTGGAAATAGGCGGCGTAAAGTGAGTGTCATGTTATTCATATGTTCATGACTAGGAAACAGCTGAGTTAAACTTTAGGAAACAGCTGAGTTAAACCTAGTGCATGTTAAGCTGTGGCTCTACATGCACTAGGTTTATAATATGTCCTTTGAGAATCATGTCAGATGTTTTTGCTGAACCGCTGGCATATTTGTGTGCATGTGTAAGTTTTTCTTACGCTTCCACAGACTCTGTAACCCAATTGGGGACAGCGGCAGAAAGAGGATCTACTCTTCACCCGTCCTGCTGCACTTTCACTCGGATGAGTCTTTGACCCATAAAGGTTTTTATCTGATCTACAGGGCCTTCTCTCCTGAAAGCGGTGAGTCCTTTATGTGGTTTCTAGTTTTTTTCCCTTTATTTTGTAAAGTAACTTGATTTGGGTTTTCATTTTTGTTTTGTGTCTTGAATGCGGGATATTTGTCTCTGTTACTACTATGTGATCAGGGCCAAAGGTAAATCATTTAGTTGTGAAAACTACTGGATTTGTTAGACAAACTGTTATTTAATATAAAATTAGACTGTCTCAAAAGGGTTCTAGATTCAGGTACATGAAATGTGTGTAACACCTTTAAAATTGTGGTTAAATAAAATGTAAAAAAGAATAAAATCATTCAAGGATGTCATAATTTTCACAATCTAATAAGTTGATTAACTGCAGTGATGTATTTTTAATTATTATCTATTTTAATTACAAAATGATAATAATGATGTCCCACATTTTGTGTGCAACCCTGTTAGAGCATGTTTTTCAATGTCACAAAAATAAATAAGTAAATAAATAAATGCATTATAAAATTCTTATAATTCCTTAAAATTGTGACATATAAGAAGTAACATAATTTGGACTGTTTCTACCACGTAGTAGGAAAACGAATAAATAATCTCATTTCATTTGGTCAGTTTTTACACACATTTTAGTGCACTGCATTAAAGCTTAACCCTGTTACCCAAGGTACTGGGGTAAGAATGACATAAATGATTTCTGAAGGTTAAATGACTCTTAAACTAACCATTTGTTGGAAAATAAAAATAGAAAATGACTTACATTTTGTGCGGAGATTGAGGCCCAATTTTGTTCCCTAATCCTTACACACTTATTTATTTTCTAAAAATAAAATTCTTAACCTATCATGGCATTATTTTATAAAGAATTAATTTATGATCTAATTGAATCAAAACACAAATGTACACTTCATTAATCATGCTTTTTCTCCCATATAAGCATGTCCGAGGCAGTTCCGCTGTGGAGATGGCAAGTGTATTCCTCTGAGGAAAGTGTGTGATGGAGAAAAAGACTGTTCTGATGGACGAGATGAGGCCAAATGCAGTAAGTGCATGAGTTAGATTTTCCATACATTCTTTTCAGCCAAGCATAGTTGTCTTATTTAACCCTGTTCTACTTTGCCCTTAGACACGTGTAAACCAGGAGAAGTTTATTGTGTGGGTCAGTGCAGACCACACAGCCAGTGTAACACCGCATGTGGTGACAGCAGTGAAGAGAATAACTGTGGTAAGAGTGTCTTTTTTTATCCTTAAGAAGATTTAATACTTCAGCATGCACAATTTCTCTCTTCCTGCATTCACTGATACTCAGAGATGTCTATTTTCATTGCTACAGACGTGTGGAGAGAGTTTGTGGTAAGACCTGACTATGTTTCAGTGTGTTTGTGTGTGTGCATGTATTCACCTACAGTATATGTGCGGTCACATTATAGAAAATTTACGTGCAAAAACAAGTATAAAGCACTCACACATAAGTCACTTTCAAATTAAGCAGCTTTCTGTTGCTCAGTGAGGCAAAGTTGCTTGACTAACTTGAACATGAGCGAAATCTGCGTGGGGAACTTTTAACTCAAAACTCCCATTTGCAGATTCCTTTTGAAATGACTATTTTGCTTGCGAAATTTCACCAAGCAACGGTAATTGTGACCAACAACTTATACGTTTGTCAAACTCATTTCTTTTTGGGTTCAATTTGCCCACTTTTTAGGAGGTAAATGCTACCATATGTGCCCAAACAAAATCTGCCTCCCCAAAGCCTCAGTGTGTGATGGGATTGTGGACTGCAAAGACCGCAGTGATGAACTCAACTGCACAAGAGCATGTGAGTAAAACCCACTTTACCTACAATTCTGCTCTATTCTGTCATCATTCCTTGCTTACTGGACCAAAAATGCATTTGGACAATCAAGCCACATGGATTTCAGTACGAACACATTCATAACAAACGCAAATGGCACAATCAGAAAGAAATCTGTGTGAAATCTTTTTTATGATCATATGTCCTCTAGTTCTTTAATTTGATCAGTGATGCTGAATATTCTGTCTCTCTGATCATTGCAGTTTCTAAAGGATGCTCTCCTTCCTCCTTCAAATGTGCCAGTGGAAAGTGCTTGAGTAAGATCAATCCGGAGTGTGACGGCATTAAAGACTGCAAAGATGGTTCAGATGAGTTGCGCTGTAGTGAGCATTCTCATAGAATTACATATTCACATCAAATTTATTATTATAGGCAAGATTCTTTGCTTGCATAACAAATCCTACAAATGTCATGCTGTGCATGTAGGTTGTGGCACGAGGCCCAGGAAGAGGGCAAAGATTGTGGGTGGAACGGATGCCCAGGCAGGCTCATGGCCATGGCAGGTCAGCCTTCAGATGGAACGCTATGGTCATGTGTGCGGGGCATCTCTGGTGGCCAGCCGCTGGCTTGTCTCTGCAGCTCACTGCTTTCAGGACTCAGATGCAATCAAGTGAGGTTTTATTCAGGCACATGCACTACTGTTCAAAATTTTGGGATCAGTATTCATTTTTGGAAGATTTTACTTTTATTCAGCAAGGATACATTGAATGTATCAAAAGTGATAGTAAAGGCATTTATAATGTTACAAAAGATAAATGCTGTTCTTTTGAACTTTTTATTCATTAAAGAATACTGAAAAAATGCATTACAGTTTCCACCAAAATATTAAGCAGCACAACTGTTTGGTACATTGGTATTAGCAAAAAGTGTTCTAGATGTTCTAAGAATGTTCTAAGCAGCAAATCAGCATGTTAGAATGATTTCGTGTGCATGTATTCACCTACAGTATATGTGCGGTCACATTATAGAAAATTTACGTGCAAAAACAAGTATAAAGCACTCACACATAAGTCACTTTCAAATTAAGCAGCTTTCTGTTGCTCAGTGAGGCAAAGTTGCTTGACTAACTTGAACATGAGCGAAATCTGCGTGGGGAACTTTTAACTCAAAACTCCCATTTGCAGATTCCTTTTGAAATGACTATTTTGCTTGCGAAATTTCACCAAGCAACGGTAATTGTGACCAACAACTTATACGTTTGTCAAACTCATTTCTTTTTGGGTTCAATTTGCCCACTTTTTAGGAGGTAAATGCTACCATATGTGCCCAAACAAAATCTGCCTCCCCAAAGCCTCAGTGTGTGATGGGATTGTGGACTGCAAAGACCGCAGTGATGAACTCAACTGCACAAGAGCATGTGAGTAAAACCCACTTTACCTACAATTCTGCTCTATTCTGTCATCATTCCTTGCTTACTGGACCAAAAATGCATTTGGACAATCAAGCCACATGGATTTCAGTACGAACACATTCATAACAAACGCAAATGGCACAATCAGAAAGAAATCTGTGTGAAATCTTTTTTATGATCATATGTCCTCTAGTTCTTTAATTTGATCAGTGATGCTGAATATTCTGTCTCTCTGATCATTGCAGTTTCTAAAGGATGCTCTCCTTCCTCCTTCAAATGTGCCAGTGGAAAGTGCTTGAGTAAGATCAATCCGGAGTGTGACGGCATTAAAGACTGCAAAGATGGTTCAGATGAGTTGCGCTGTAGTGAGCATTCTCATAGAATTACATATTCACATCAAATTTATTATTATAGGCAAGATTCTTTGCTTGCATAACAAATCCTACAAATGTCATGCTGTGCATGTAGGTTGTGGCACGAGGCCCAGGAAGAGGGCAAAGATTGTGGGTGGAACGGATGCCCAGGCAGGCTCATGGCCATGGCAGGTCAGCCTTCAGATGGAACGCTATGGTCATGTGTGCGGGGCATCTCTGGTGGCCAGCCGCTGGCTTGTCTCTGCAGCTCACTGCTTTCAGGACTCAGATGCAATCAAGTGAGGTTTTATTCAGGCACATGCACTACTGTTCAAAATTTTGGGATCAGTATTCATTTTTGGAAGGTTTAACTTTTATTCAGCAAGGATACATTGAATGTATCAAAAGTGATAGTAAAGGCATTTATAATGTTACAAAAGATAAATGCTGTTCTTTTGAACTTTTTATTCATTAAAGAATACTGAAAAAATGCATTACAGTTTCCACCAAAATATTAAGCAGCACAACTGTTTGGTACATTGGTATTAGCAAAAAGTGTTCTAGATGTTCTAAGAATGTTCTAAGCAGCAAATCAGCATGTTAGAATGATTTCTGAAGGATCATGTGATGCTGAAGACTGGAGTAATGACTGCTGGAAATTCAGCTTTCCATTACAGGAATAAATTACGTTTTAAAAGTTTATTTTATTTCATTCCATTCCATTCCATTTCTGAATGTTGCAGGCTGTTTAAGTGACTAGGACTCCAAAATATGTGACACTCCAGGTATAAGGTGTTTGTTTATGTTTTGGCAGGTATTCTGATGCGCGATCATGGAGGGCCTACATGGGCATGCGAGTAATGAACTCGGTCAGCAACGCAGCGGCCACCAGACAAATCCGTCGCATCATCTTGCATTCGCAATACGACCAATTCACCTCCGACTATGACATCGCCCTTCTAGAACTAAGTGCCCCTGTCTTTTTCAATGAGTTGGTACAGCCCGTCTGCATTCCTGCCTCCTCTCACGCCTTCACCTCCGGAACCAGCTGCTTTGTCACTGGATGGGGGGTTCTGTCAGAAGAAGGTATGGCACATTGTAGAAACTCATTCAGAACAAACAATTACTTCTTGTTGAGCTGAAGCAAGACAACGTTAGCAACACTGTCTTGAAACACATGATTCATACGATGACTAAAGGTGAGAAAAACGCATTCTAAAGAAATCATCTTTGACCACACCCACTGAAAAATCCCCCAGGATCCCCATCGAAACGGCAAAGTCATTAGATATGCTTCACATTTCCATGGTTCACAGAAGCGGAAGTCATCATAGTTGGGTAAACAGAAACTACAAGAAATATATTTATATTTTTTTTTTGTTTTCATTTCCCCAATAGCAAAAGAAGAATCTATGATAGCATTTCTATAACCTTGCAAAAGAGGAACAAATATATTGTGAGAGAAATATGTCAAATTTGCCATCACTCCCTTAGCCGTTCTATTGGAAACACTAATGCAGCAGGGTTAACGGGTTTTATTAAATTTAATGCCATGGTTATATAACACAAAGATAGTGTTATAGATGTACTTTAAATAAAAGAAAAAGAAAAGAAAATATACTTTTTTTTTTGTAAATATCAAATTAAAATTTGTCATTTTTTGCTAGATTTATGATACGAATTTCATTGGTACTTATATTTGCTATGGAGATCTTATTTCAAAATGATTTTAAAACGCATGCCTGACTAATAAGAAATGAATTTATTTTTATATTTGAAATATTTTTATGTCCGTAAATTTTAACGAGCAGAAGGGTTTTAGAAATAAGTCGGATTAAACGAGTAAAATCTGTTGCAAACACCATTTCATGTCATTACATGCATTGTTTCCATCTAAAAACTTCTGATTTCAGGTGAATTGGCCACATTGTTGCAAGAAGCCACCGTTAACATCATCAGTCACAACACTTGTAATAAAATGTATGACGATGCGGTCACTCCCAGAATGCTTTGCGCCGGAAACATTCAGGGAGGAGTGGATGCTTGTCAGGTTAGTGTGTGCTTTTGTGTTCACTGCTTGTCAATGTTAACCGTTCATATATTCACATCTGTGTTTGCACAGGGAGACTCTGGGGGACCTTTAGTGTGTCTGGAACGTGGCCGGAGGTGGTTTCTAGCAGGCATTGTGAGCTGGGGTGAGGGCTGTGCCCGACAGAACCGGCCTGGAGTTTACACACGTGTCATAAAGTTCACAGACTGGATTCACCAGCAGACGAAAGGCCAGGTGTGACTAACACACGCACACATATATTTACACCAGAGAACGGGTGATTGGCCCACACTCAGTTGACACTGAAGACTGGAGTAATGACTGCTGAAAATTCAGCTTTGGCATCACAGGAATAAATTACATTTTAAAATATATTCAGATAGAAAATAGTATTTTATTTTATTCCTTAAAGTTGTAGGCTATTTAAGCCTGTTGTCACTAGGACTCCTAAATATGTGACGCTCCAGGTATAAAGTGTTTTCTCATTTTTTGGCAGGTATTCTGATGCACGATCATGGAGGGCCTACATGGGCATGCGAGTAATGAACTCGGTCAGCAACGCAGCGGCCACCAGACAAATCCGTCGCATCATCTTGCATTCGCAATACGACCAATTCACCTCCGACTATGACATCGCCCTTCTAGAACTAAGTGCCCCTGTCTTTTTCAATGAGTTGGTACAGCCCGTCTGCATTCCTGCCTCCTCTCACGCCTTCACCTCCGGAACCAGCTGCTTTGTCACTGGATGGGGGGTTCTGTCAGAAGAAGGTATGGCACATTGTAGAAACTCATTCAGAACAAACAATTACTTCTTGTTGAGCTGAAGCAAGACAACGTTAGCAACACTGTCTTGAAACACATGATTCATACGATGACTAAAGGTGAGAAAAACGCATTCTAAAGAAATCATCTTTGACCACACCCACTGAAAAATCCCCCAGGATCCCCATCGAAACGGCAAAGTCATTAGATATGCTTCACATTTCCATGGTTCACAGAAGCGGAAGTCATCATAGTTGGGTAAACAGAAACTACAAGAAATATATTTATATATTTTTTTTGTTTTCATTTCCCCAATAGCAAAAGAAGAATCTATGATAGCATTTCTATAACCTTGCAAAAGAGGAACAAATATATTGTGAGAGAAATATGTCAAATTTGCCATCACTCCCTTAGCCGTTCTATTGGAAACACTAATGCAGCAGGGTTAACGGGTTTTATTAAATTTAATGCCATGGTTATATAACACAAAGATAGTGTTATAGATGTACTTTAAATAAAAGAAAAAGAAAAGAAAATATACTTTTTTTTTTGTAAATATCAAATTAAAATTTGTCATTTTTTGCTAGATTTATGATACGAATTTCATTGGTACTTATATTTGCTATGGAGATCTTATTTCAAAATGATTTTAAAACGCATGCCTGACTAATAAGAAATGAATTTATTTTTATATTTGAAATATTTTTATGTCCGTAAATTTTAACGAGCAGAAGGGTTTTAGAAATAAGTCGGATTAAACAAGTAAAATCTGTTGCAAACACCATTTCATGTCATTACATGCATTGTTTCCATCTAAAAACTTCTGATTTCAGGTGAATTGGCCACATTGTTGCAAGAGGCCACCATTAACATCATCAGTCACAACACTTGTAATAAAATGTATGACGATGCGGTCACTCCCAGAATGCTTTGCGCCGGAAACATTCAGGGAGGAGTGGATGCTTGTCAGGTTAGTGTGTGCTTTTGTGTTCACTGCTTGTCAATGTTAACCGTTCATATATTCACATCTGTGTTTGCACAGGGAGACTCTGGGGGACCTTTAGTGTGTCTGGAACGTGGCCGGAGGTGGTTTCTAGCAGGCATTGTGAGCTGGGGTGAGGGCTGTGCCCGACAGAACCGGCCTGGAGTTTACACACGTGTCATAAAGTTCACAGACTGGATTCACCAGCAGACGAAAGGCCAGGTGTGACTAACACACGCACACATATATTTACACCAGAGAACGGGTGATTGGCCCACACTCAGTTGCATGTGATCGAGGTGCACCGGCCCAGCTCTCATGGTGCCCAGACACACAGCAAACATCAACACCTCTGCATCGGAAGCAATTTCCCACCAATTCCTGTTGCTCAGCGTTTGAAACCTCTACCCACGGTCTGCCAGCAGCTCCATTCCCCTCTTTATGCCCCAAATTCGTAAGAACCACCTACAAACCAACTGTATTCCATAAAGCCTCGACAGTGGACTGCTAGTGTCGAGATTGAGGAGATTATTTGCAGTGGAAAGAGTTCTCTTGGTAAGATTTGTGTTATTTGCATACAGTGGCTAAATATTAGTTTTCATTCATTTATTCATGTTAATGGAATCATTTTGATTTTTTTCATTGTTTAAGAATGATATAAACATGGTCCTTTTCAAATATGTCCAACTGTGAAACTGATTGCATGTCAGAAATGATGACCAACATGAATTTTAGTCATTATTGTTACTGTTTTGTATGTTTTTGTAGGGTTTTTGTTATCACAAAGATTATTGGCTTCTCCCTTATTGGGAGAGAGCAGCTGCAGCCCCTAAGACTCTCTCTACTGGTCGTGATTTGACATTACATCTTACTCAGTACTTCTTTAGTTATGCACACATTAGGATCTGTATACCTGAAAAACCAGATGTAAATGTCAAAACTGAGCAAATGTTGATACTTTATATTAGATATATGAAAATAGAATTATATTAAAAAGAGGTGCTACATTACTTCTACTCTGTGATCTGTTTTTATATTGCATGTTTCAATGAAGTGTAAATCATGCCTGAGTGTTTCTTACTGGTTTCTTTCTTATTTAATGTGAATATAATCATGGTTAATGCATATAATATATTTTTAGAGGTATGAAAACACAAACGAGTCAGTTGTTTCTCCTAGACAGCAATAAGATTAAATGTTCAAATTGAGTTTTTTCTCTCTCTCTTTCATTAGCTTTTTCTTTTGAGAAGAATATTGAATTAATCTCACCTGCCCCTGAGATTTTCAAGTGATCTTGACAAAGTCTCAAACTGGGCTCAAATTTTTAATTTGAATTAAAATGAGAGATTCCAGTATGGTCTCAAATATTTCTCATCAAATCTTCCAAGACCAGCTATCTGAGCTTATTTGACTTTTTTGTATGACAACAATAGTCTCATTTGTGTCCATTTTTATTTCACCTGAGGAACTTTAGGAGAAACATCTGAGACAAAGTTGATGCTTAAAAGAAATATAATGGAGGATATAACGGAAAGAGTGGTATCTTAGAGCAAATGTCCTTGGTGTTATTTTATATTAATTACTCTTCTGTTCGTTTGTATTAACTTCCTAGATTATGCATTGTTAATGTGCAAGCAGCATAACCAACATTTCGTTGATCTTCACTAGTATCTCTTTTCCCTCACTCCTAGTCTCTCTGAAAGTTGTTTACCCTCATGGATTTACTCTCCTCTTTTAAGGATTGCAAGGGTGGGATAACTTCAGACAGTGTTGGATTTACAGCAATAAGCTTGTTTATTCATGATTTTATTGATGAAGTGGAGGAGAGACACAGGAGCTGTGCTGTACATCGAGCCCTTGTAGGTCACGTCAGTCGCGCGGGATGGGTGTGTCGATGAGCGTCACGGAAGCTCCGGTGGCAGTGGGAAATGAATAAATCCCAGCCCGCGGTCATAATGGGCAAGAGTTTAACTGGAATTCATGCGTGGTCCTCCTGCTTCAAGAGTTCATATACTCCGGACGATACTGAAGTTGATTGTAGTCCTTGTGAAAGCAGGGTTTGAGGAGTTTTGGCGTTGAAAGGTGAATTGATTCTCTGGAGTATTGGATCTGCAGTGTTTCTTCATAGGTGTTCATATCCAAGCAAAGGACCTCAAGCAAGACCAAGAGAATGTTCGATATATTATTTGTGATGATATTTGGATTGTCGGGGCGTGTTCTGACTAAAGGTAAGTATAATGGACTTTACTTTTATCATAGAATATCAGTTTTCATTCTTCTTCATATTAAACATCTAAGCCATACATTTATTTTTCAAATACGCACGGTTTCATAATCTATCAGTGCTAAAGGATGAAAGAACATTTTGGGAATGCTTGAGGATGAGTGTGGCATTCCTTATTCACAGCGCATCATTTGCATTTCATAATGAGGAGACTTCCATTCACTTTGGATAAACACTAACTTGTTAGCATTTTTTTTTTTGTATTCATGCCCAGTTGGTAATAATGCGTGCTGCAAAAACGCAAAATTACGCGCTAAACGAACGTAAATTACGCGCTAAATCAGACGCTACAATTAGTTTTTCCAAGACTATGGCAAGCCTATTTAACATTTACATTTATAATTTAAAACGAACTAGTATTTTTTGTTACTAGTAGCATTTTCGTTTTTATTAATAGAACTAAATCCAACTAGACTATCTATACAATTAGTCACAATTGTCCAAACGACTTGTCTGAAAAGAATAGTTGACATCTGAAACTCATATCCCCATAAAATTTGATTGCAAAAAAATTACACTTTGTTACAGAAAAAAAATAAGCAGTTTACTTGTAACTATTTTGAGTGGGAATGCTATAATCTAATGATCTGGCAATAATATTTAATGAACTAGTGAAATGGAAAAGAATCAGAATGAGTAATAAAAATGCATATAAAAATTCACAACAGACAAAATAATTTATGTGGACACTAGAGAAAACACATATGTACAAGATACTATTATAGAGATACAATATTGTACAAATATAATTGCTTATTAATAATATAATAAAATACTAATATAAAACACATTCGTTTGAAGAAATAAATGCTAAATCGGCCTGCCATAGCAGGACAAGTTGTTTTAATAGTAGAGACCTCTCTGCTCTTACTTGGCATCCGTCTTTAATGTTTGGCCCCGGTTGAATCAGAGAGGGCGTTATTTCCTGAGCCTGATGACTTTGTGAAATGGAAGTTCTAATATAAATGACTTCGGGGTCATGACCACCGTGAGGCAGGAACCAGCGCTAATCAGGGTGTTATAGCTAAAACAGACCCAAGGGGAGGAAGCAAGGGGTGAAGCGATGTACTGTCCGCACTGCGTGATTATTAGTGCTTTATTGGTCAACAATTCACCACTCACATCACAGGACAAAAAAATGAAATTGATTAATGGCCAAACTTGTTTTAAGTTTTGTGCCATCTGCGTGGTCAAAAGCATACAGTTATACTGGAAAAATAATTTTGTAAAATGAATCAGGATATTGGATTTTTAGAAAGATTCCTAAAAAAAAGTGCTACAAACAAAATGCACTAATAAAACTATTTCAAATTAACAAAAATAATTCATTACTTTAAAAAAATAAGTAATGTAAAGAAAAAAAGTTTTAAAAAATGTAGTAATGCAAATTAAATAATTATAATAATAATTGCATTTCCGTTTAGGTTATTCTTGTTAATATTATAGTTCTAGTTTGCAGCACCTTAAGAGTTCAGCAAAGAACCTTCGTATCAAGAAACGTTTTCCTTTTATAGTTCTTGAATTGGCTTTATTATTCTTTGTGATCAATAAAGTTAAGCACTTAAAGTTAAGCAAAGAATAAAATTCCTTTGTAGAACTTGAAAATGTTTTCTTTAACTAACTAACCCAACCGTTGGGTTAAATTTTTACATTACATTTTTAACCCAAAAGTTGGGTTAGTCCATATTTGACCCAAAGTTGGGTTGAAACAACCCAGCATTTTTTTGAGTGTACATTTATTTTATTTATGTACTTATTTACCAACAGTAAAAAAAAAAAGACAATCTAAAAGAATTGGATGTATTTAGTTTTTATCATCATTATTATTATTAATATTATTATTAAAAATGTTTTTAAACACCACATTAATGTGATGTTTTCTGATGATTTTTATTCAATGAATCTCCTTTATTTAATCTATAAACATTGCCTTGTAAAGATCCTCAAGTATCTCTGAACAATACTCAATTGACCTTCAATAACAACCGTGAAAAAGTTGTGCTGTGCTCAGGAGCACCTAGAATATAACTCTATCAGTATTAACAGGAACTGTGGGTATGTTTCTATAGCTTTAGATGGCATAGTCCTATTTTATGTAAGTTCTACATGGACTCTTATCACCTAAATGTGGTCAATGTCACTCTGTAATCAATGTCACTCAATGTCAATGTCAATGTCACTCAATGTCACTCTGTAAAGCTTCACAGTATCTTATTCAGCAACCTCTAACGTGCCTTTCTGTTTTCTATCTGAAAGATACAGACACAAAAGGGAGGTTCAGTTCTCCAGTGTTGGATGTTACTGAAAAGCAGCTTATTATAGAGAGAAATCAGACACTTCAGCTAAACTGCAGGTGAGTGATTTGTCATGGTTAAAGGAGGAGGAAGTGGTTAAAAGTGGATCAAGAAGTATTGGATGAATGGCTTTATGATTAACAGAGGTGATACAGATTTTGGTCAGGAGGAATGTAGAATGTAGAAGTTTGGAGTGAGAGATTGTAAAATGCAAGCATTAAAGATGAAAATTGAGTGGGGTCAAAATCTTAAGAGCACACTGAAGATCTGGGATACGTAATTTGTTTTAAACCGAACGCTTTGGACATTTAAATTACCCAAATATATTTTAAAAGGTATTGGTCAATCAAATTTGACCATTACCTCCTTTGTACAAAAGGTCAAAAGTTCATATGCACAAGAGTCTCTCAAATCATCCTGGAGAACTTGATCATCAGATTGTATGCATTTTATGCAAATGCATTTTTATGCATTTGATGCTGTCATTAAAGCAAAACTAAATACAAAACAAACAAAAAAACAAAATCAAATCATAAGTCAACCATAAATCATGTTGACTGATCTGGCCTCACATTCTATGTAAAGTTTAGTAAAATGCTAAATAGAAGCATTTTCATAAGTGGTCCCAAACTTTTGGGCTCCATTATATGTTGATTACTGAGATGGTGACATGATGTACTTGGACCATTAGGTATAAAGTTCCTTGTATAATCCAAACTTGATGTTTCAGGGGACGGTGGGAGCTCCATTGGGTTTTGCCATCAGGCGTCCCGAAAGTCTACCACGGCACCCAGATAGAAGAGACTCAATGTGGGAAGAAAAATAACCAGTACTGCAGCCGCCTGACGCTCAGTCCTGCTTTAGCTCAACACACTGGCTCTTACCGCTGCAGGTACCGCCAAAAGCAGCGCAAACAGGCCTCTGTGTACATCTACATCACAGGTAAGATGCTTCAGGTGAATGCTGGAACCCTTGAACCCTCTCTTTCCAGTGTTGTGACAAATTGGGTACTTCCTTGAAATCATGTCTCCATCAGGTCTTCAACTATCATTTAATAGGTATACCAAGTAAACACAAAGGATATTAATTTAAAGATTTTTTATTTTTGTTGGCATTTTTGCCTTTATTGTGATATAGGACAGATCAGACATGACAGGAAGGAAAGTGGGAGAGAGAGAAGGGGGCGGGTTCGGGAAAGGTCCTCGAGTCGGGACTCGAACACGGGACACCCAAAGTGCAGCGGCGCTGTATGTCGGCGTGCTGCCCACATGTCATAATTTAAAATATGTATATAACTGCTTATTATATAGTGCATAATAAAACAAACTGAAGATATTGTAATTTCTTTAAGTTGATAAACTGTTAATTAATAATACATTACATTTACATTTATCTGATGCTTTTATCCAAAGCAAAAGAAGAATAAAGGCAATTCTTCTAGGAGTCAACACTATTTTTAATATAAAATGTCAGGTTTATTTGACAACTAATTTAGGAAGCAAACTAGAGAAGACAAAAATAATAAACAATAATAATAAATGAATAATTGAACATCATTATACGTTCTCCTTGTAACTGAAATATTTGGACATTTAACACGTTTTTACATTAAAGGCTGGAGATGAATACATGTAGGGGAAGTGCAAGTGCATGGTGCACAAGCTAAGATATCAGGCTAATCTGTATGCTATGCTAGTATCTTAGCTAACTAAAGGCCTATTAACACCAACGACGGTAACTATAATGATAAAGTTAATTATAAAGTTTTAATTATCATTCTAATTCTATAACGGTAATGACATAGAAACAATGTTGTTGGAATCACTTTCAAAATGTTTTTTGTTCCAGCTGTTGAACGATAAAAACACTGGCAGCCAATCAAAATTCACTCGACTTTAAAAAGCTTGAGCATTTAAAGCGGAACGTTAAAACAGAACGTTATCGTCTATTGATGTTGACACTATAGTTGTAGTTAGCATTATAGTCATCGTTGTTGGTGTGAACGGGCCTTAAATCAAACTTAAACAACATAACGTGATTTTGTAGGAATTGTAATGAGGCACTAAAGGGAGTACCCATTCAATGCTGGGATCACTTGAGGTCCTAGCGGAGACCCGATTTCCAGGGAGGACCCAATTTGTCACGACACTGGCCTCCGTTTAATAGCTTGGCCATCTCACTGACATTTCTGTTGCTTAAGGCTAAACAGGAAGCCTCAGGAAGCAAATAATACCTAAACACCATTTTTCTCTCGAGGCAACACATCCGACTAAGTGAGCGTCTGGCACGGATTCACACTGGCATTTTTTGTTTTTGCACACCGTAGGCTGTCCTCTCTCACTTTTGACTAAATTTAAACGATAACTTTCATTTACGTGCTACCTTGAGGGGACAGAAATAGCCCCAGCTGTTGAAAGGCTCAGTTCTTGGGCAGCCTTTCCCAGGGTACCCGGCCTTATCTATCTCCCTCAGCCCGGCCGTCCGTATCCTGTGCTGCTCTGGGGGGAGGGACAACTTGAAGACGAGGATAGAGGATGCGATGTCTCCTTGTGTATGTTTGTTGGGATGCGTGTCTGTACATGGGAGTGGGCATCTTAAGGGCATGCCGGGGCAGAAGAGACTGGGATCCTCCCTGGTCAGGCATTAAGGAAGGCTAAGAGGTGCCCCAGGTCACTAGGTGCGGCCCCCGGTTAGCCAACAAGGCCCCTGAGGACCATCAATCGCTCTTGTGGCCATGTCCATTTAGCCTCACCCTTCGTCCTTTATATTGAATCAAAGCACGACAAGGAAGCATCCAGCAGTCCTTGGGGTACTTTTGTTAAAATGTTCAGAGATTTTTTTTCGTTCCTTTAATAACACCAGAGCTTCGAACAATGGGGCGAGCAACACCCAAAACCTTTCATTGCCACAAGAATATTGTAACTGGGGCGAAAGTGCAACCGAGAAAACAACAGAGAGAGAGCGTTTGATAACAAGCGAGCGTTCTCTCTGTATTTGTTGCTGACTGTTTATATGCAGTCTACTGTTTGTATGCAGTGTCTGTTTGTTCCTGACCTCAGCATTGGTGTTTCAGATAGCCAGCGGCCATTTGTAAAGGTGCAGTCGGAGATCCCAGATGTGGTGTACATGAAGGAGGGAGAGCCGTTGGTCTTCCCCTGCAGAGTCACAAACCCGGATGCCAAAGTCTCGTTGGTCAAGGTGAGTGTCTCAGCTGTGAGTCAAACAGATCATTTCATAAGACACATCAGCTTTCCCTCTTTCCAGGAACAAGGAATCTGTTTCTCAGCACTGAACACAAAATGTGAGACAGTCTCAGCCAATCAGAACATGTTTGATGTTTAATTAGCAGAATTATAGACAAATGAGAGCAGTGGGTGGAGCCATCCAGAGAACTGGAAACTTATTGCTGTTAGTGTTTAGAACAAAACTTTCATGAATTTTCTTGTTAAAACTTGTCAGTCTTCTTGGCCTTTTCAGTTATAAACATAGGCTTTTCATTTGTCTGTCAGCTATTATCACAAAATGTGAAATAATCCCAGACATTCAGAAGATATTTGATTTTAATACTGGATTAAGAACCAATGAGATTTTGACAGTGGGCAGGGCCATCCAGAGAACTAGATCTATTATTTTGAAAGGGGTATTCATGACTTGTTGGCTTTGTCTGGTTGTTTTGGGACAAACTCCTTATGTCTAAAGATGAGTGTTTTTTTTAAATTGTCTGTTCGAGTGTTCAACAGACATTTTTTTAACATCTCTCTGTTATAAAAATATAAAAACAGCTCTATACTTACGTTTCAAACCCAAAGAAAATCTTTCTGCATTTAATTCTGATGACCGTGTGTGTGTCCCAATTCGTGTATTTATGCACTATTTTATGCAGTTCTAGTGCAAGTAGTGTGTTCACTAAATTCCAAAAAGCAAAAGTGCACTTTAAATACCCAAATGATGCACTTAATAACCAAAAAAAAATGAAGTGTGGAATGTTGGATACTTAATGCACTCAACCGTCGCAGCTTTAATTATGTAGCGGAGGGGAAGGAGTTATCAGACTACGATTATGAATGAAAAAATATCCTTATGTAATTCAATAACTACACAGTTGAGTACACAGTGCATAAGTACATAGTCCATAGTGTATCATTTGTGACACAGCTCGTGATTACTTTAAAAAGTAAAGTAAGTGCACTGCTATTTTCATGTTCTTTACTTACATCACGTTTGTAATGGCGTTAAAATTGTTATTTTACAAGAGCCTCTCTAAAGACCTTGTGTTCTGTTGTATTCAGCTCGGTTCGGCTGTTTGAAAGGAAGAACGCACGTCTACAGTATGTGTGTGCATGCACTCTCTGTGCATGTGCGCAGTAGTGCTGTGTTCAAAATATCGATACGACGATGTATCGTCACAGAGATTTGATGATACGAGTATCGATACAGCTGTCCCTGTATCGATATCATGGCAAGTGTGCAGCAGTGGACCGCGCTTAATTTGTTAAAAATTTTACAACGTTTAAAATTTAGTAGAAAAGTGCGAGGTTTCTAAAAAAGAATGAATAGAGCATATATAGGCTACAACAAGGTTTAATCTGGCCGCAGAGGAACACAACTGGGATGCCTGATATATAGAGACGTAATCCCCAAAACATAGCTTCACACTTGCTCAATACGGAAATATCTGCTAAGTGTGCTACTTATCTTTGTCAACCTGGCAACCATGTGCACGCGCTCTCTCTCTCCACTGTGGATAAACGCGCTTGCTTTCTGAAAACACTGGTTAGCTTTCAGTTTAGCGATCTCCACTTCAATATTCTATTCTCAGAAAAGTGTAATGCATCAATGGTTAATTGACCAGATAGAGAAAGTACACAAGCATCCAACTCAGGTCACAAACAGAAAGGAATAAAATAAAATAAAGATGTCGGTAGAGCAAGTTATCTCTTCACCTTTTCAACTCGTACAGACACACGCTATGCACATGCGCAGATGTCAATCTGCCACAAAACTACCGTAAATGCTCTAGTGGCCGTTACAGAGTCCCCCCTGGAACAAATTGGCTGTCCTCAGCCAACAGCACTGTGAAAATACAGGACATAAACAACTCCATACATGAATAGTTGTAAATACTCCCCTCAAAAAGAAAACCAGTGGTACATGATGAGAAATACCAACATACATGACAGTTTTTAACTCACCAAACCACTTTGTCCTAGAATACAAAGAAAATGTGACAAGCAAACAGAAAAGAAAACACATAGGCATTTAAAAAATCCATGGCAAAATACATTTTACAGGATAGAGGGCGTTCGGACTTGTGCAAAGTACGGCTAGCATAGGCAACTGCACAGTCCCTGCCTTGCTCATCCCTCTGCATTAAAGCAGCACCCAGACCAACATCACACGCATCCACGTGAATGAAAAATGGAAGTGAAAACTGCGGAAACCTCAAGATAGGCGCAGACGTCAGTTTATTTTTAAGGAAAACCATAGCATTCTGACAGTTTTGTGTCCACCCAAAAGGAACATCAGCTCTCGTAAGAGCGAAAAGAGGTTCAGCATGTTGGGCATATTCATGAATGAAGCGCCGGTAGTAGCTGGTTATGCCTAAGAACTGTCTCACTTGCTTGGAGTTTACTGGAGTAGCAAAGTCTACCACAGCCTTCACCTTCTCCTCATTTGGTAGAATACCCTCCTTGGTGACCCGATAGCCCAAGAAGGTAAGTTCCTTTCTACAGAACTGACACTTGTCCAACTTGATTGACAGGCCAGCAGATCTCAGCCTAGCCAGGACTTCCTCAAGATCTCTCAGGTGTTGTT